ATATATATATATATATATAGAGAGAGAGAGAGAGAATATAGAGATGAAATCAAGTTGGAAATTTCAAAAATTAAACCGGAGACCATATGAATTCAGATTTCAGCAAACTTACAATCGAACTGAACGTCTCAAAAATGCGAACACAACGACACCAAATTCGACTCAATCCGAACCCAAATGACTCCAAATCAAAGACTCAAAGCATATTTAGAAGGTTTAAACCATAATTTGGATTATCAAAAGGTTTCCAAACATGACATGCTTATAGTAGAATTGAGCGGCTAGACGAGATGAATCCAACAAGCCCAAAATTGCTAAATTCTGATATCATATGACATTTAAATGACCAATAAACGGTCCACGATCAAGAAATTTAAGATCGATCATCCATTTAAATCACTCTCAATTTAATTTCATATTCATTTATATTTTTTTTCTAGGTTGATATTAGCTTAATCATGTATTGATTCAATCTTAAAGATATTTTATGATTTATTTTTGTGCAATGATATTTTTAATATTACGTATTTAGTTAATATATTGAATTCATTCTAGCAATAATCAAGTGATTTGATGATTGGAAATCATTTTGTGAAGAAAAAAATAAACTAATTCACTATCAAAGTTTTATTTTTTTTAAAACTGACTATTTTGATCCCAAGTCCAGATGTAAAAATTTGAAGGAAAATAAAAAATAATAATTTATGCCCCCCTTAAATACATTTTCTGGCTCCGCCACTGTGAAGGGGCAAGTCTTGATAAATTATGATGAAGTTATTTGGCAATGCAATTGATTGACCAGCTTAAGAAGAGGTAATTAAGTAAGAGATCGATGCTTATAGACAAAATAGAAAGAGGTTGGTTTCACCAACTTCTTCTTTAAGAATAGCCATTCCTACTAAACTACTTTATGAAGGAGGAGAAAAGCTTATATAATAGTTTGATATAGGCATGTGTTGATGCCATTGAGGAATTGCACATCATGGTACATAACTTGTAGAATGAAAATAAGGCTATGAAAAAAGTTGTATTGAGCTTGCAATAAACAATGGGCATAATGGAGAGTTTTCTAGGGGATTGATCCTAATACTTCAATGAACAAAAGATGATCACCAAGCATCTTGATAATTGAATTAACTATTTTCATTACTAAAATAGAGCACACAACATGTTGGTCTCGTACTTAGAATAAATCAGTGTGGTTGGGCATGATCCACACGATTAGCATCACAGATAAATGTTTAGAGTATTTAGTAATGATTTATCCATCAACTACTCAGATATTATGGGTTAAAAATGTCGTATTTCTAAAAAAAATGGCTAAACAAAGGAATATTGCTTCTTGATGTTAATGTTTGCTAATACTAGCTAGTAGCTACATTAACAATATATATCAATCATGAATCATAATTAAATTAAGAAGAAATGTATGCACTTGTGAGAAGTTAATGAATTAGGGCTCTTTAGATCCATAGGTCTTTTACAAAGTTATAAGCTTTAAGGAGGTGGATTACTCTCTAAGCAATGTAATATCTCTTCACAAAAAAGATTAGTTTTGACATTTGTATCTGTAATGACTCATATTTTGACTTATATAAATAAATTTTTTAGGAGTCATTATAAGCCTAAATCATAAACCATCTTCATCATAGTATATATATTATTGTGTTTTAATTATAATATTTTTTTAGTAATTTTTGGACTCTTGTTCAAATCCTTAAGAAATTAACACATGTCGATATAACTGGGAATTTTGGGATCGTTAGGTATCCATTTTACAAACTAATTTCACCATGATTTTTTAAATAAAATTGGCTTTTTATAATTTTAAAGCTAAAAAAAGATTTATTTGAATTTTATACTATAAATTAATTAAATTATATAATTATTTTATTGTAAATATCTAAAATCACTTAACAAAATCTATTAAATCTTTTTTCCTCTTCTTAATACGGCTAATAGAGATTGGAAGAGAGAAATTATAGAGAAAAGTGAGGAGAGCTAGAGAAAAAGAAATTTAGAATTTAGTAGGGGTGTCAATTCGGGTCAGCGGGTCGGGTTCGGGTCGAACCCGAAACTGACCCGGCACTGTTCGGGTCAACCTGAACCCGACCCGTTTTTAAAAACCGGTCAGGTTTCCTGACCCAAACCCGACCCGATTCGGGTCCGAGTCAACCCGACCCGACACGAATGACCCGAATTTGATCTAAAATTTCTAATTTTCGGGTCAAAATCCAATTTTCGGGTCAAAATCGAGTCAAAATTGGGTAAAAAACGGGTCGACCTCGGGTTTTCGGGTCAAATATGAGTTTTCGTGTCACTTTCGGGTCAATTTCGGGTTGCTGGGTCAACCCGAACCCGACCCGATTTTTAAAACGGGTTGATTTGTTCAACCCGAACCCGGATTTTTCCGGGTCGTGTCAAAAATTGACATCCCTAGAATTTAGAGGTTGTGAAGTCCTGCTAGGTGATTTGTTTATCTCATTGCAAGAAATCATTACCTTATTTTTTATTTTAATGATTTTGTATATTTTGTATTTTATACGTTTTTATTTGGTCAAAACATAAAAGTTATGAAATATTGATTTTTAGCAAACTTTCACAGCATAACTTTTCGTATATAATATTTGTCGCCAATATGAACATTTTGAAAAGTTATGAAATATTGATTTTTAGCAAACTTTACTCGTTGGTTAAATTAGAAGCTATAATTTTTTGAAGTATATGCATAGTAGACAAATTTGATCGATTTTCTTATATTTTATGATTATTGCATTTCATATATGATATTGACTTACATTGGATAGAAAAAGTATCATTTACATATAAGCAATGAAGGTTAGCTGTTAATACTATAATACAGGTTGACTCTTAAAATATAATACTCTACAAAGGAGGGTG